TGATTATAAAATTTGTATTTATTTTAACAAATTTATTAGTTATTTACCTACACAGTTTATTGATTTGATATTCTGTATTTAGTTAAACATGTTAAATTATTTACATACATTCATTTTTTAACTGAAGACTTATAGCATGAAAAGCGCTATCAATGGTCATAGGGATGATATCACGTCAAGTTTACAGCTTAGTAGGTGCTACCTTTTTCTAATGTAATACATTGACTCGTTTACCATGAAAAACGCATTGATAATGTTTTCTACTCATTGGTTTTCAAAAAGAATTAAAATTTTTTTCCTTTATAAATATTTTTTGTAAAATATTAACCCAGTAAAATACACATTGATTTTACAAAACAAAAATTAAAAATCTAATCCAGTTAGTTAACCAATAGAAAAATGTTGCTTGTCATACTTTTAGACCATTTTTTACTAAACTTTTGAATCCTTATGATTTATTTAATAACGCTTAAACACCAGCTATAGTCATTATAAAATAGTAATTATGAATTAGGTCCCAGAAAATAAAAAATACTTTTAATTTATTATTTAGAGCAAGAGGGAAACAAATTAAAATTTTTGGTCCAGTAAATTTGTGATTAAGTTCTTATTTATTTACATAAGTAAGAATAGTATTTTCTTTAAAAAATATGGTGAAATTTTTGCTGACTAAATAAAAAATTTGTCTAGTATTTTAATTATTGTCTCTTATTGTCTCCTTAATAGTATTCGTTGTTCAATATCCATATAAAATCTGTTTAAAACTATATGTCTATCTAAAAAATTAAAATAAATTTACTTAAATACTTTTACTCAAATGCTTTACAATTTCATATAGCAAATACAATAGGTCTTTTAATTATTAATTAATTCCAATGTGTATATATTATTCATTTTTTAATAACACGTTCAATAATAATGTTCTAATTAAAAAAAAAACACTTTGTTTAAATACATATTTTCATTTCATGTCTTAACCATTTCAATTATTTTAACCACCAGAATAAAATTCATTATTCCGTATCTTTACAATTTTTAATCCATGAGATTCTCAGGGTTCTCTTTCTATTAATTTTGCTCCCTGCGACAGTACAGGCTAGTATACTTTAAGGTTTTAATCTTGATTCTTGAGTATACCTGTTTGTGGTATAGGCCCAAGTGAGGAATGTGGAGACAGTGGAATGTTGATTGTGGGAGGTGCAGCCAATACTTCCCTTGTTATTGTCCCACCATGGCTTACATGTTGTTATAAAGAACATAAGGCTACCTGTGTCATTGTGATTTTCTACCTCTTGGCTGTTGCTTGGTGTCTAAATTCATAAAATCAAATCCTTGTCGAGAAAGTGTACTCAAATAAGCATTCATTGTAAATTGTAATTGTGTAATATTTTTATGTAAGTATCATTGGTTTTATAGTTTTATTTATTAAACTAATCAATGTATAATCATATATATATTATGGTATACCATGTACTTTCTTATCAAATATAATCTGTTTCCCTTATAATAAAAAGAATTTTAAATTTATTATTTAGAGCAAAAGGGAAACAAATTTGGTGGAGTTAATTTGTGATTAAGTTCTCATTTTTTCTTTGCATTAGTAAGACTAGTATTTTATTTAAAAAGTATGGTGTATTTTATACTGGCCATAACTAATACAATTTTCTAATATTTTAATCATTTTCCCATTTTACATTGTTTTTTTACTAAAACTACTGCCCTCACTCATGTTTCAATTAAATATGCTTAAACTCGGGCTAAAATCTTTTTTATGGATTAATTATAAGTTCTTAACCTTATTTTTGAAAATATTCTTTGTGTTCTAGAATTAAAGAAGAGAGAAACTAGCTAAGAATTAAAATGGATGATTTTAACCGCGGTATCGTGATCAAAATAGAGGAAGAAGATGAGGATACGACAGAACAATTTACGGCAGAAAATATTGACGGAGATGAATATAGGTAATATATTTTATTACATAACATTCTAATGTTGTGCACCAATGCACCATACTAATGGAGTTAACACCAATAGTATGGTTTTTATTTTTTAAACTAAAAAGTCTGGTCCTAAGCAGACCCAGACCCAACTGAGAAAGCCCAGACCGTTACCAATTTTTATACTTAGTTCAGCTCAACGTTTCAATGGTCTAATAAAATAATACTAATAAAAATGTTCAGTGTTAATAAAAATTAAATTTATTAATTAAAATACTTAGGAAGTAAAAAATCACTTGTTAAAAAAGAAAATAATAATCATAAAAACATATTTTTATTAAACCATTTTGTTACGAATTATCATTATTTTATTCTAACCAAATTGGTATCAATTTTTTTTATACATGTCTTAACGGTGCCAAATTTGGATTTAGATACATTTTATAATTTTTTTGAGTGGCCGAAAAAAAAAAAAGTAAATATATTGGTTTGGTCTAATCCAGGGTTCTTAAAAAATTGTTTAATTAAGGCCGGGTTTTAATAATGTTATTCGGGTGGATTTAAGTTACAAAATACGAGTAATATTTTAAGGGTCTGACCAGTCTAAATAAATAGTATTATAATTCTATATGATCATTTTCATTTTTAGTACTGGAAAGACATCTCCGGTGTAAGGCTTAAACTTGAATTATATTATTTTTCGTAAAATGAACATTGTAAGTTGACAAACTAATTTTTTTTAATGTATCTTGTGTTTTAGACTTAATGAAATAGGAGACGAGACAAGAATTAAAAATAAAGAATGTGAGACTGATGATAATCACTACAAGTCCACTTTTGATGTTGTAGAAAATAGTGAACAACAAAAAACGAACAATGGGAATGCATACAAGTAATATATATTTTAAAATAAAATATTTATAATAGATGTTGTTAAAAAAAAAAATATTTGGCTACCCCTAAACGTTCTATAATTTTCATTTACAAATCAAAAACAAAACACGATAACATCATTTTTATTTTTAATAATATTTCATGTGTACTTTTGTCTATGTACAATTTAATTACTGTGATTAATAAATCAGTAATTTAAAAAAAAATGTATTTGCTGACCCCGTGCACGTCGAATTTTCAAATATTGGTCTATCTAAAACTGTTTTCCATATTGCTTATCGTATATAATATTCTGTGCGCCAACCATTCTGTGTTGAATACGGTCAATCCTTTTATATGGGCTTTGATTTATGTATCATAGAACCTAATTTTTAGATAAATAATATAATAGATAATATTAATAAGACGCCTTATAAACAAAAAAATATTTGTATTCTTGGAGTTGTTTTTCATACTAGTTATTTTATGAATATCAATTTTTCAAACTTTATATATCCACCGGTGATAGTTAATACATAAATCTATTTTTTTTTTTAATATTGATTGCTCGTAGGCAGCGTAGCTGATATTTTCGCTTTCCTTTTTATGTATATTTTTTATTCTTAGTGCCGGAGAAATGTGCAACGAAACAATGGTCAAAGTCGAAGTGGACTTAGTGAATGGACTTTATTTCGAGTCTGTGATTGAAGCTGAAAGAAATAGTCTCATGGATGAGATACAGTCATTTGTATGCGATGTATGCAAAAAGTTATTTTCTTCAAAAAAGAAAGTGGCCCGACACATTACACATTCACATAGTGCACAACTATTAACCCAGAAAAGCACTGGAAAACAAGTCGTTGAAAGTACTGTTGTTACTATGTAAGTACTATATTATATATTAAATTATCAATGGTTTTATCGTTATAATTAAAGTGTAAAATCAATTAATTATACATACATCATGTATTATCATCGTAGATACTGTCTAATTCGCGATCCAACTATTTATATATTTTTAAATTCGGAGTGCAAGTTTTAAGATTGATATCCAATTTTTAAAAACAGGATACACTTTTACATCTAAGAATTAAAGAGTTTTCTTAAAAACAGAAAATTTTTGCTTTAAATGTACACAAACGGTAATATCTACATCCATTAAACTAGATGACTTAAATTTGAATCGCTTCATGCAAAAAGGGCCTAAGTCACCATTTTATCATAAACGTGATTATTACAGATTCGTTATCACTTTACTTAGAAGCATTGATTCATGTTAAAAAAAAATTTAGTCCCATAACCAGAAATTACTAAGAAAATTATTGATTTTTGTAAAAATGGTCTAAGTCCACTATACTTAAATACTAATAATCTAGACTGCTTTTGAATATAATAATATTGTTTTTCAAAATGTAATTTTACTGTTTAATATCTATTATCTTTGATAAAGCCCTTATATGTTTATGCTTTTTGAAACATATCAAACGTTTTTTTTTTTTCATTTTTCCACAAGTTTAAAGTTAAAGACTAAGGCCCTTTTTACATGAAGCGATTTATTTATTAAGCTGGACTTTTTGTACATTAAATTCGTTTACTTAGGTCAAAATAGAATATATATTAATCATATGCAATTGTGAGAAGTATATATATTTTTTTAATACAATATTGTTAATTGTTCATCAATATTTTGTTGTAGTGGTGTTAACCGTACGAGAAATGAAGGCAATAAACAAACAGCATCGAAATATAGCAAAGAAGATATAAAAAAACGGCTTTTATTCCAATGTAATTTATGTCAAATGTCGTATAACACCAAAAAACAAATAAGTTTACATATCATGAAATCCCACGAAAGTCTAACAAAAAAACACTCTCTGCGGAAACCAAACACTATAAATCGCAATAAGTTTACTGACAGATACACAAACATCAGCCGACCCTACAAATGCGATGTGTGTTCAAAGTCATTTACTCAATGTACCGGCCTCACAAAACACAAACGCATACACACTGGAGAAAATCTCTACAAATGTAACGTGTGTCTAAAGTTATTTAATGATAGAACAAACCTCACAAAACACAAACGCGTGCACACTGGCGAAAAACCTTATAAATGTGCTGTGTGTTTAAAGTCATTTTCTTATCAACACCACCTTACAAAACACGTACGCATTCACACCGGCGAAAAACCTTATAAATGCGATGTGTGTTTAAAGCAATTTTCTGTAAAATGCAACCTGACACAACACAAACGCGTACACACAGGAGAAAAGCCCTTCAAATGTAACGTGTGCCTTAAGACATTTTCTGGAAAATCCGCTCTCACCGGACATGAACGTGTGCACACAGGTGAAAAACCCTACAAATGTAACGTTTGCTTTAAATCATTTCGTGAACGCTCAAAATTAACAAATCACGAACGCGTACACACTGGTGAAAAGCCCTACGAATGTAATGTGTGTTTTAAGTCATTTTCTGTAAAATCCACTCTCAGATGTCACGAACGCGTGCACACCGGAGAAAAGCCTTATAAATGCGATGTCTGCTCAAAGTCGTTTGCTGAAAAATCCAACCTTAAAACCCATGTACACATGCACACCAAAGAAAAGCACTTCAAATGTAACGTGTGCCTAAAGTCGTTTTTTACAAAATCCAATCTCACAGTACACAAACGGGTTCACACCGGAGAAAAGCCCTACACCTGTGCTGTGTGCTCTAAGTCTTTTTCTGAGAAGTCCAGCCTCACAAGACACAAACGTGTGCACACAGGTGAAAAGCCTTACGAATGTGATGTGTGCCTTAAGTCATTTCCTAATAAACGCAACCTTGTAACACACGAACGCGTGCACACCGGGGAAAAACCCTATAAATGTAATGTGTGCCTTAGATCGTTTTCTGTAAAATATTCTCTCACAACACACAAACGGGTGCACACTGGCGAAAAACCTTATAAATGTAATGTGTGTTTGAAGTCATTTTCTCAATGTACCGATCTCTCAAAACACAAACGCATACACACTGGAGAAAAGCCTTATAAATGTAATGTGTGTTTGAAGTCATTTTCTCAATGTGCCGATCTCTCAAAACACAAACGCATACACACTGGAGAAAAGCCTTATAAATGTGATGTGTGTTTGAAGTCATTTTCTCAAAAAAACTACCTTGAAGTACACAATCGCGTGCACACTGGAGAAAAACCCTACAAATGTAACGTGTGCCTTAAGTCATTTGGTGATAAATCTTCTTTCAACAAACACAAACGCATACACACTGGAGAAAAGCCCTACAAATGTGATGTATGCTTGAAGTCATTTTCTCGAAGTAACGGCCTTACAATACACGTACGCATTCACACCGGCGAAAAACCTTATAAATGTGATGTGTGTTTAAAGTCATTTTCTGATAAATCCCACCTTACAAAACACAAACGCATGCACACTGGCGAAAAGCATTATAAATGTGATGTATGCCTTAAGTCATTTTCCAAAAAATTCAGTTTCACACGACACAAATGCTTGCGCTATCAATAAATTATATTTATTAATTTGTAAATAAAATGTGTGAAGTGAGTTACTCACAACTTTATATAACATATGCTACTGGTAAAGTTTAATTTTGTTTTCTTTTAATCAAATGATCACCGCATGTTTCTTTCGTTTACCCTATAGGCCTTTAGTGGTTGTTTGGCGTGTTTTGCTTATAATATAAATGTATTATTATTATTAATATTATTTTTCTTTATGAAATATTTTTAACATTTGTATATTTCTTTAAACTTAGAATTATAAATTTTGTATGATTTATTTAAAATGTGTGTCAAACATTGTAATTATTTTTAACACCACGCAGGCGTCATTTACGTTGGTATTAGGTTATTGCGAAGGTTTGAAATGATAGGTATCCTAACTCTAAAAACAAGTCCATATAAATAGATCTACGATACTAAATTATTTTATAGAAATGTGCACTCAATACTATGCATACAAATTAAACTGACCTGAAAAATCGAGCTTCATATTTTTTACCGTGTTTTTCGCTCAGACTTTTATTATATTATGTAAAAATTATTTTCCAATATGTTTTGATGGTGCTAGTGGGCATTTTTTAGTGTACCAACCACTTTTTCAAGTATCAAATTGCCATAAAGATCAAATATCCAATTTTTTTTAAATTTAGTAACATATTATATTAAGCTCATACCAATAAAATAATTAATTTGTTAACTCCGATAAATTGAAAGTAACAACGTTAAATTGTATTAGGCATTTCTATTATGTTAAAGTGACAACGTCTCACTACGCATGTTGACTAGCACTAAAACTTGAGTTTTACTGTGTGTTTTTAATTTTATTATTTTTAGAAGAATTATATACATCACTGATTTAATAATATCAGCTAATTAATATGTATTTCACTTTAGACCTTAAGGTAACCAACAACATTTTAATTGAAGCTAAAACTTGAGTTTATACTTATTAGTACAATCATATGTCAGCCTAGGTTCATAGCATCTTGAGATATGTATGGAAACCTTTTTTTATCGATACATTTATGACGCGTCTTAGAAAAATTAAATAAATGCTTTGGACGAGGCCACGGGTGTATCCAACAAAAAAATAAGGTGTGTACATTTTAATTGTTAACAAGTAATCCTTAATACTATTTTGTGAATCTGATTATGGTCAGCTTAACGCTATAGATGGCTACATAGTACACGCGTGTACGTTTATAAGTATATTTCATTGTGGATAGGGTTTCCTCATAATTATATAATAATACCACAAGTTGATCTTATTTAAATTGACTATTTCCAATATACAATTAATGGTGATGGAAAATGTATTTACCTTCACTGCGTTCTACCTCCAGCCAATCGACGGCCGCCGCGCTGTTATCATTTGTCTCACACGCATAAACATCATTATCAAGTAGATTATTGTTTGTAATTTTTTTTTATTTCTCACCTAAAGCCATCCTTATTGTTTTTTGTAATTTTCATAGATGTTGTGTGTTTACTTCTAAAATACTGCTAAAAAGAATAATATTATTAAGTGTGTACATTTTATAACTGTGTTTTGCGTCCATGGAAACGGCCTCTTAATAGGAATAATAGTAAGTACCGACAAACATTTACAATTAATATATACATTTTATTTATTCCAATGAATTTATTAGTTATTTATCTACAGTATACGACGTGTTTGATATTATGTATTTTGTTAAACAAGTTAAATTATATACATACATTTACATTTTAACTAAAGACTTATAGCACAAAAAGCGCTATCAATGAAAGTAGGGATAATAACAAGTCTAGTTTACACAGCTTAGCAGGTGCTTAATTAATTAACTGATAATGTTTTCTATTCATTGGTTTTCAAGAAGAATCTTATCCAGTTAGTCAACCAATAGAAAAATGTTGCTGGTCTCTAGAACTTTTTTTTCTAAAACTTCTGAATCTGATTTATTTAAATACGCTTTATCTCAAGCTATAGTAATTTAAAAATATTAATTATGTGTTACTATGCTCATATTTGAAAATATCCTCTTTGTTATTTCCCAGAAAATAAAAATTACTTTTACATCACTATTTAGGGCAATAGGGGAACAAATTTTAAGTTTTTGGTTGAGTAAATATGTGATTAAGTTCTTATTTCTTTATTTGCGTTAGTAAGAATACTGAATAGTATTTTATTTAAAAAGTATGCTTTATTTTAAACTGGTTATAACTAATAACATTTTCTAATATTTTAACCATTGTTTCCTGTTACGGGATCAGCATAGACTTGCTTCTAGTAATGCGTTTCATTGGTTAAACCTCTGGAGCTTTTTTAGCCTCACACGTTTCATTTGAATATGCTTACACTCAGGCGGCTAATGTCATTTTGATAGACTAGTTATAAGTTCCTATCTTCATTTTTGAAAATATAATTTGTATTCTAGAGTCAAAGAAGTGAGAAACTAGCTAAGAATTAAAATTAAAATGGATGATTATTGCTGCGAGACTGTGATCAAAATAGAGGAAGAAAATGAGGATACGAAAGAACAACTTACCGAAGCCTTAATGGAAAAAACAAAACCGGAAAACATTGAAAAATTATATAAAAGTGATCTGACGACCAACAACAAACCTCAAGAAAATATTGACGGAGATGCATATAAGTAATGTGATTTATAATTAAAGAATTTGAAGTACATTTTGTAAAAAATAGCAATAACAATAATAATAGGTAATAGATAAGGTATTGATAGGCATTCCATGGCGAATAACTATGTGTATGAAATTTTGTTGAAAAAGGTCCCGGTGCAAAACTGTTATTGTTATATTATAATTATTTTACATAACATTCTAATGTTGTGTCACATAAAATTGGTGTAAACACTAATAGTGTGTGTTTTTTTTTTTACCTAACCTTACCTAATCAGTGTAGTCCCAAGCAGACCCTGACCCAACTAAAAAAGCACGGATCATATACAGATTTTATATTTGGTCCGGTTCGGTGCCGATCAGATATATTATTTGGAATTACTAATACTACAAAAGTGTTTAGTGTTTACTTTTCCGTACTATCTGCTTTAGGAAATATATATTATTTTACAATATACATTCTGCAAAAATGGCAATAAGCGAAACGGGAAAAAGAACAGTTTGGTTTATTTAATTTTATTATTTTATTTGATACTTAAGTTAAGTCATCTCAGTAAACGGAGGTGCAACAGATGAGCTATTAATTATTAAATACTTAACCATTTAGAGAAAATTATTAAATAACTTTAATACTTTAGTAAAGTTAAAGTTATGCTGGATAAGGCTAAAACTTAAAGGTTACTAAAAAAACATTGTAAATTAACAACCTCATGTTTTAAAAATGTTCGTTGTGTTTATAGACTTAATGAAACAGGAGACGTGCCAAGAATTAAAATTGAAGAAGGTGAGACAGATGATTTTTACTACAAATCCATAATTGAAATTCAAGAAAATAATGAGCAATTGAAAGAGCATCAAAAAACGATTGACAGGAATGCATACAAGTAATATAATTTATAGTATACAATTTTAAGTGTATGTTATTAATTAATACAAATATTTGGCCACCTGTAAAAATCCTATAATTTTTAGTTAATTTTTTGTATCATCTGTAACAGAACACAAATATATACATTTTTTTTGTATTAATATTTCCTTTTTTTTAAGCTATGATTAGTTTGTTTTTTATTAATCTTCATTTAACATAGACGACAAAGGCTATTAGTTACAGAATCATTAATTACTAATTACTAAATGATTTTATTGTGTTAAAAAACTATTTACATATAATTATGTCACTTTGGTCCTAAATACTCGTTCAGTTGTTAAGGTAGTTTGATGACTAGCTGATATTTTTGGGCGTTTGGGTAGATGTTAGGCGGTTACTGTGGTATCACATGTCTCGCATATTGCGGCTTCTCTCTTTCCCATACGATAACCATGAGTTAGAGCCGTATGTCCTATTCTCAATGCGTTTTTGGTCAACTCTTCTTTTCGCTGTAAATTGTGCATTGACTTGTTGGTTGAACATTAAATTTCTCCAAGTTTATTTTTTTCTTGTCTCCAAATCTTTGACCATCCGTTGTTAGTTATTTCTTCAATCTGTATTTTAATATCATCATACGTTATAATGAGTTTAGTTGCCTCAGTACTTGCTATGCCAATTTTAGCCTGCTCGCCTGCAATGACGTTGCCGACTATATTGTAAAACTTGTTAAAATTTTTGTTTGTAAAAATAAATAAATAATAATAGTATAAAATACTGACACACCCCATGTATTTCAATGATACAAATATTGGCAGAGTACATATACAAAAAATTCCAATCTATCACATAAAACATTTATAACCTTATAGATTACAGAATATAATATCCTGCGCATCAACAATTCTGTGTTGAATTGATATCTCTTACGACCATTCGGTTGCGCTTATTTTTACAAGCAACCATACGAACCTCCACTTGATTTTATTGTATGCACTAAACCAAACTTTAATTTCCAGAAAATGTATGTATATTATTGTTTTCAGTGTCGGAGAACCGTGCCCCGAAACAATAGTCAAAGTAGAAGTGGACCTAGTAAAAAGACATTATTTAGAGTCTGCGATTCAAATTGAAAAAAATGGTAATTTGGATGAGATTCAGTCATTTGTATGCGATGTATGCAATATGTCGTTTTCTACAAAAAAGAAAGTTGCCCGACATATTACACATTCACATAGTGCGCAGTTATTAACCCAGAAAAGCGCTGTAAAAGAAGTCGTTGAGAGTACTTTTATGTAAGTACTATTTTATATATATTGAATTATTCATAGTTTTATCGTTAAAATGAAAGTACAATATTAGTTTATTACTCATAACGACACGTATTATTTATGTAGATACTGTCTAATTCGCGGTCCAACTATTTATTTACATTTAAATTAACAGTGTAAATTTTAAGAATAATATCGTTTTTGAAAAAATGGAATACTAAAAAATTATTAAAACTTGAATGGTTGAATATTTACACTATTTACACGTCTTGCGGTCACTTCCATTTGAATATCTTGACAGGTTCGCTAACGTTTCGAAACACTTGCATTGTCCATCTTTAAGGATCTGGTTCGATGTTGCTTGTATCGCGTTCTCCCGTAGACTGACGCCCTCGACTCGTCTACGGGAGAACAAATACATATAAGAATGAAAGAGTTTTCTTGAAAATAGAAAACGTTTTCATTAAATGTACATAAATGACAATATCGACATCTATTTAACTGGATGACTTAAATTTATTTAGTTGGTTTTTTTGTACATTCAAGTCGTTTACATTGGTCAAAATATAATATATATTAAGAAATATACAATTGTGAGAAAAATATATTTTTTTAATACAATGTTGTTAATTTTTCATCAATGTTTTGTTCTAGTGGTGTCAATCGTATGAGAAATGAAGCGAATAAAATAACTACTGGTTGTTTTTTCAAATCTAGGATTGAAACAGATAACAATAAACAAACGGCATATAACACTAAAAAACAAATAACTTTACATATCATGAAATCCCACAAAAGTTCGACGATGAATCAATCTCCTCAAAATTCAAACGCTATAAATCCCAATAAGTTTACTGCAGGATACACAAACATAAACCGACCCTACAAATGTGCGGCGTGCTTAAAATCATTTTCCCTCCAATCTACCCTCACGCGACATAAACGAATTCACACCGGAGAAAAACCTTATAAATGTATTGTATGCTCAAAATCATTTTCTCGAACACACCACCTTACGCAACACGAACGCGTGCACACCGGCGAAAAGCCCTTCAAATGTAACTTGTGTTTGAAGTCATATTCACAAAAACACAACCTTAATATACACAAAAGGTCCGTTCACACAGGAGAAAAGCCTTACAAATGCGATGTGTGCCTTAAATCATTTTCTGGAAACACCGCTCTCACAAAACACAAACGGGTGCACACCGGCGAAAAACTTTATGAATGTAATGTGTGCTTGAAGTCATTTTCTCAAAGTAACGACCTCACAAAACACAAACGCGTGCATACTGGAGAAAAGCCCTACAAATGCAATAGGTGCTTAAAGTTTTTTAAGAGTTCATACCACTTAAAAGAACACGAACGCGTGCACACCGGCGAAAAGCCCTTCAAATGTAACTTGTGTTTGAAGTCATATTCACAAAAAAAAAACCTTAATATACACAAAAGGTCCGTTCACACAGGAGAAAAGCCTTACAAATGCGATGTGTGCCTTAAATCATTTTCTGGAAACACGGCTCTCACAAAACACAAACGGGTGCACACCGGCGAAAAACTTTATGAATGTAATGTGTGCTTGAAGTCATTTTCTGTAAAATCCACTCTCAGATGTCACGAACGCGTGCACACCGGAGAAAAGCCTTATAAATGTGCCGTTTGCTTAAAGTCATTTTATGAAAGCACAAGTCTCACAAAGCACTCACGTGTGCACTCTGGTGAAAAGCCTTATAAATGTGATGTATGTCTAAAGTCATTTTCTGATCGATCCAATTTCAGACGGCACAAATTGGTGCACACTGGCGAAAAACCTCATAAATGTAATGTGTGTTCGAAGTCATTTTCTGAGCAATCCAATTTCACACGACACAAATGCTTGCGTTATCAATAATTTATATTTATTAATTTGTAAATAAAAAGTGTAAAGCGAGTGACCCACAACTTTATAAAACTGTTTCTACCGGTAAAGTTTGAATACATTTTGTTTTCTTTTAATCAAATGATCACAACCACTTCATGTTTTAAAGATTTAATGTTATATAAAAATCTAAAAAATTATTATTAAATTCAATATAAGTTTGACCTACCCCACTATGACCTGTAGATTTGTTTTTAGTGATTGTTTGTCATGTTTTATTAATATTATTAATGTATTATAATTATTTGAAAGCTAATTTTGTATTTGTAAAATATTTTTACCATATATTTATATATTTTTTGAAATGAGTATTAAAAATTGTCGTCAATCTTTGTTTTTAATCAATGTCTTACCACGAAATTTGCTATATGTTAAAGTTTGAGAATTTTATTTGACAAATTATTTGTTTAAATAATCATATTCATACTTAATGTGTCCTAGAAAATTGTAAGAAATGGTCTGGTCGAAGTCGCAGGTGTTTCTAACGAACACTCGAGGCGTGTACAACTGAGTTATTGCGATATACGCCTGTATATCTTGGTGGAAGTTAGTATTTAAGTAGAAAATAAAACACAACAATAATATGTTTAACACAATACTATTAAATATAAAAACACACACAGTATAGAGAATAATATATATATACAACGTACGTTTCAATTATAACAGCAGCCGTAATAGAATGGTAAATCCAACACCTTAATACTATGTCTTATATACTATACAATCTAGGTTACAGACGTAATTGGTCCTTGTATAAACAACTTAAATATTACTCATGATTTCATCAGTGTACACATATATTACCATATAAGGTTATATAATAATTATTACTTATCCATGACCCAAATAAACAATATTAATTATATTCAATACACCCCCTTAATTAATATTCCCTTAAATTAACTTATTCTACTGTGATATCTTCTGTATTCCGATGCTTGATCGAATCATCCCAAATCTGTCCTTTGGAAGTGCTTTTGTAAAGATATCTGCCAACATTTCTTCTGTGTTTATGTATTGAACTTCGAATTGACCTTCTTCATATTTTTCACGAATGAAATGATATCGTACATCGATGTGCTTGGTTTTTCGATGAAACTCCGGATTTTTAACTAAACGAATGGTACTTTGATTATCAATGAATAATGTAGGTTTATCATACATATTATTATTAGTGAGTTCTCGTAAGAAACTTTTAAACCAAATTAGTCCTTTCGTAATGTCCGACGCTGCAATGAACTCCGCTTCCGTACTGCTAAGAGAGACCGTTGCTTGACGTTGAGCTTGCCAAGATATTGTAGATGAACCCAACATGAATAGATGTCCCGAAGTTGATCTCCTTGTTTCTAAATCTCCAGCATAATCAGAATCTGTAAATATTCTTAAATCTAAATTATTATCAGATTTATACACCAATCCATAATCAATTGTATGTTTAACGTAACGTATAATGCGTTTGACCATCGACCAATGAGCATTAGTTGGTTTTGTCAAAAATCGTGATGCAAAATTAACTGCAAATGCCAAATCTGGTCTTGTTAATTGTGACAGGAATAATAAACTTCCCACTGCTTCTCGATACGGTACTTGACCTTCTTTTAGTACTATCGAATCCGTGTGAACATCCAATGTCGTTGATTTATCAATGGGTAATGAGATATCCTTTGCATCTAACATGTTAAATCGTTTAATAATATTTCTAGAATAATTAGTTTGATTAATAAATAATGATCCATCATCCAATCTCTTAATACCCATTCCTAGAAAATAATCTAAGCTACCATGTTTAACTTCAAATTCTTTTTCTAATTTGGACAACAACACCCGTATTTTTGTCTTATTGTCCGACGCAATAAGACCATCATCAACAAAAATAGCTAAAATCAATTTTTCATTATTATCATGATTAGTGAAAACACACGAATCATATTTACTTTGATTTAAATTGAATTGCAAAAGGAAATTCTTAAACCGTGTATTCCAACACCGTGGAGATTGTTTTAATCCATATAACGACTTACGTAATTTGCAGACCCGTCCTGAATTGTCGTCATATCCGATCGGTTGTTCCATATACAGTTCATCTTCCAACATACCATATAGAAATGCTGTACGAATGTCAAATTGGCATAATTCCAATTTCTGAGCCGCACTAATGGCTAAAATTGTTCTAATAGATTCAAATCTAACTACAGGTGAAAATGTTTCGTTATAATTTATCCCATGTATCTGTCGAGACCCGTTAACAACTAATCGAGCCTTAAATCGATCAACCTGCCCGTTACCATTGTACTTGATTTTGTAAACCCATGAATTATTTAATACTTGCTTTCCTTCTGGAATTGGCACCAACGTCCAGGTGTCATTAGTATGCAATGAATTTATCTCGTCGTCCATGGCTAAAATCCAATCATTTTTATTCTGACAGCTCACTGCTTCTTTATAGTTAATCGGTTCTGTAATACACGACGTAATATATGCATATCTGGCCGGTTTACGCAATTGACCTCGATCGCGAAGATTGTAACTTGGTAGTTCTGTTGGCGTGACTTCGAGTTGTTTTTCTGGTTGTACCTCTACCGCCTGAGGTGTTTCCTTGTCGACATTATAATCTTGACTTACATTTTCGCTAAATGTTAATTCATTAGTATTTATTTCTTTTTTAAACACAACATCTCTATAATCTCTTATAGTTTTAGTTTTTGGACAATAAGCCCTATACCCACGTTTATCTAAAGAATATCCGACAAAAATACACAATTTACTTTTAGCGTCCCATTTTCGTCTCTTGGCCTTTGGAATATGAACATACATTTCTGTTCCAAATACCCTTAAATGCCTTATATCTGGTTCTTTATTAAAATAAAGCTCATATGGACTTTTACCTTCAACAGTACTCTTACCAGTAAGATTGAGTACATACACTGATGTATTAACTGCTTCTGCCCAAAATGATAAGTCCATCTTCTTTGAATGAAGTAATGTTCGTGCTGCTTCCACAATAGTTCTCATTTCACGTTCCGCCCCAGAATTTTGCTCTGGTGTGTACGCTATTGTTTTTTCATGTCGAATGCCATATTTCTGCAAAATACTTGTTACTTCTTTAGAAACAAACTCTAAACCATTATCACTTCTTAAAGCTTTTACTTTATTCCCAGAATCATTTTTAACAGATCTTATAAATAACTCTAATTTATTTTTGACCTCATTTTTATTTTTCAAGTAAAAGACCGTCCGATAATGTGTGTAATCATCCTTGAACAATAAAAAATATTGGGACCCGCCCAGAGAAATTTTTTCAAACGGTCCGCATAAATCTGCATAAATTAACTCTCCGGTTTTACCCGATGTAGTCGAACGACTCTTAAATGGCTTTCTCGTTTGCTTCCCAATAACACAATCATCGCAAAAAAACTGGTTCCAATCACCGCTTACATTTATATTATGTTTTAGCAAACAAGATTTTACGTACTGTTTACATTGATGCCCTAGTCGTTCATGCCAAAGTTGAATGGAATCCGCGATTGCCGCATTCACTTCCATTTGTCCGTTACCTTGCTCGGTCAATGTCATGTCGTCGGCTATTTGTTGTACAATCTCAATGTTCATATTGTATAACCCGTTTTTGCGTTCACCAGTGCAAACGACCTTATTGTTTTTCAAAAAAATACACTTTTTACTATCTGATTCCAACTTCAAACCTTTATCTAATGCTTTGCCCGTACTAAATAAATTATACTTTAAATTTGGTACATATAACACATTAGACAAATAATTTGTATTCATGTTATTTCCCACATAACATATTATGTTAATATTTCCCGAACCTTCTGCCTGTAAATTTGTACCATCGCCAATTCTTATTTCCACTGGCGATCTGAATTTTTTATAGTTCACAAACCACTCTCTGTTGCTTGTCATGTGTTCAGTAGCTCCTGAATCCAAATACCATTGATTCTCTTTGCGATCAGTAACCAAAGATTCACTATAGAACGCTTGACCTGTTAAACTTGTACTTGGCGAATCTGATTTCGCCTCACCCAGATCCTTCTGGTACTTTTGATACTTCTTGCAGTCTTTCTTGAGATGACCTAGTTTCTTGCACCAAAAACAAGGACCTATCTTTTTAGTATTATTATTACTAAAATTACGTTCATTACCAACATTACCACTATTCTTCTTAAAAAATTTCTTTTGAAATCTTTTGACAGTCAAAGCATTGGATTCCTCTGCTTCAACTTCTGAACCTCCTTGAGACATTCTCGATTCTTCTATTAACAACCGAGATGTAAGTTCATTTAAATTTTTACTTGCTTGAGGTACACTGTCCCATGCACTGTAAAAATGTTTATAAGATGGCGGTAAAGTCATAAGAATTTTAGTTAGCAACATATTGTCAGAGATTTTCTCTCCCGATAGAGCGAGTTGGTTTTGAAGATTCTGTAGTTTGCTGATATGCGTCGAAATGTCATCTGTAGGCTCTTTTACATAACTGAAAAATTTATTTTGTAATAAATGTATACCTGCTTCAGATTTTTGCTCGTAGATACTTAATAATTTGTTCCACATATCATATGCTGTACTACAATTTAGCAAATATTGTAACGGTCCATTTTCCAATGACGTGACGATTAATCTTTGACATTTACTATCAGCCCTTGACCACGCTATTCGTTCTAACTGAAACCTTTTCTTGGCATCCTCTTCTTTCTCGGAGGTTGCTATTGTATATACTGGCTTTTTATAATCTCCTGTAATTATACCGCTTACCTCAAATGAATTAATTATTACCTTCATTTGAAACTTCCAAAGTGTCCAGCCTTCCGAGTTACTCAGCTTTGTAATCTTCAGTGACTCGTCCATAGTTAAAAGATAACGTACTTAAAAATAGTACTTACTGAACAATTGGAATAAGTGAATTTTAACTACATAAAATACTTAGCCTTCTGATACTCCACTGTTGTGCCTGAGACTATGTGTCTGGGCCCATAACCTATTGCGATATACGCCTGTATATCTTGGTGGAAGTTAGTATTTAAGTAGAAAATAAAACACAACAATAATATGTTTAACACAATACTATTAAATATAAAAACACACACAGTATAGAGAATAATATATATATACAACGTACGTTTCAATTATAACAGCAGCCGTAATAGAATGGTAAATCCAACACCTTAATACTATGTCTTATATACTATACAATCTAGGTTACAGACGTAATTGGTCCTTGTATAAACAACTTAAATATTACTCATGATTTCATCAGTGTACACATATATTACCATATAAGGTTATATAATAATTATTACTTATCCATGACCCAAATAAACAATATTAATTATATTCAATATGAGTATTTAACAAGATGGTAATCTTTGAAACCATTTTGTGAATATGAATTTGGCCAGCTCAACAATATAGGTATTATAGTGAAAAATGTTTTTACGTGCACTGAAAAGTTAAAAAAAAAATAGGTATTTCCAGTTTTGGTAACTAAAATACGACAAACTATAAAGTCCACACCTTTTTTTTACTTCCAAATTTCTATGAGATAACCGATAACGTACTTTCGACAAACGTTGACAACCAAAACAATTTCAATTTTCATATACCTACCCTTTCTCCAAGGCGGGATGGAAACTTTTCTTTATTCCTCTTTTTCGAGTAAAATGTTCAGACCTAAAAGTCTGAAAATTAGACTGAAGTTAGCGTGGGGCTAAAACTTATTATACACTTACTATATATTTTTATATTATTTTATGTATTTTTGTTTTGATTTACCTCATTTTTATTTGTAGTTAAAAAATTTTGGTTTACTAAAAAAAGAAAGGAAAAACACTAACAGATTCATAAAAATATAAAAAAGTAACTTTTTAAAAAAATGCCTTTTTAAAATATAGTAAAAAAGTGAGCTAAAAAGTAATAAATCATTCTACTACAAGAATTTACCAATTAATAAATTGTAACAGATTTTTTTTACTTTGAAAACAACTACAATTTTAAATAATGTTAGGTAAACATCTTTAATTTTTGACTAAAAAGAAAAGCGTAGGCCCTATTCAACAAATCCAATGATAAATTTATCATTTAACATTTCAGATAATATTTTGTATTGTAAGTTTTAGTGTAATTTGAATTTGAAAATGTTCCAAAATTATACGAATTGTTCTTCAAACACATGACTATCGATAAACATTAACAAACCAAAAAAATATCATAAACCCTTTCCCTTAGAAGGGATAGCATTTTTTTCTTTATTTCACTTTTTCAAGCAAAGTCTTAGAGATTTAGATCTGAAAGTTAGACCAAAGGTAGATCTAAACAGGTACTATAACATATATAATTTTCTCAAAAATCTGTAGTCAAATTTTTTTATTATTGAGGAAAACCTCAAAAATAGGGTAAATTTACACTTTGGTCGTAGTCAATTTCTAGGTTGCTATGTGTGTGTGAATCAACAGTCAACAGACAATGAAAATATTTCCATTATATTGTTAATTGCGCTATGTGGGTAACTATGACAGTACATTTTTATGGACAGACGATCAACCCTTATCGTATCCACCCTGCACAAGACTAAATATTAAATTTTAAGTACATTATTGCTGGTCCCATGATATCTTCTAAACCATTATAACTAGTTTGAACATACTATCCACAGATTCGCATCGAAGCGTTTATTTAAAAGTGATTTTATCACTTTCAGTTGTAATAAAATCTGTAGTCCTGTGACCTGAAATTACTCTTTTTTTGGAGTAAATTTCTATGTTGCTATGATTGAAAGTAAAGTCTTAAAATTTCCTTAATTTAAATAAAAAATTGTGATCTTAGACATTTTTATTTACCTAAGTATGTTGTTTTTCTTTTGTCCAATTACTGGAGATGTCCAAAAAATATTAAGATAATATAGATCATTTTAGTTTTAAAACATACCTATTTGAGAAAGGATAAAGAATATATAAATATATTCTTTAAAATTTTAGCACTAATTCCTTAGCAGAAAACGGATTTGTTTATAAAAAAAAAAGGTTAAATTATACATTTTAGAGATAAAATTAAAAAAAAACAGTGAATGTTTACAGAATTATTTTATTGTTATATTTTAGATATTAATTGTTTTTCTCTTTTTTTATGCCGTTTAAACAGACAAACTTTTTGGGTAAATTTTATAGACTTTATTGTTATTATTCTGTAATATAATTCGTATATTTTGTTCATAATTAGAATCCATCTAATACTACGTTAAAAGTCCTGATTCGTGGAGAAACATTTAGTAGCAGAGTTGTTTATTAATTATATAGACTTAATGATATTATTACGGTTATTAAAATATTGTGTATTTGATGACCGATAAATGAAATAAAATACTCAAGCTATGTTACAAATTTCAAAAACGTATCTTAAGAGGAAACAGAGATATGTGGGTTAGAAAATTTGGGTGAATTGGTTCGAGTAAAGATACACTGGCATTGCTGGAACTTGGCCTGGCACACTACCGTGTGCTCAGATAAAATTGCTTTTGATATTTAAATAGAAAAAAAGTTTTTTTTTCAGGTAAATTATAAAGTCGAAATAGATCTATTTATTTAATATTAGGTTTGATTAAAAACTTTTTTATTTGCTAACATAATATAAGGCGATAAGGTAAAGAAAAGGACTAATTTGTATCCATCAAAGTAAAGTGGAATAGTTAAAAAGTATATAAACAAATATTTCATTACACGAATTATATTTATCAATTCTATAGCAATTTTACAAATAAATTAAATAATCAATTGATTAAAATGTAAGTATAATTTTATTATAATGTAATATTATAGTATTCTTTAATATTATTTTTTAAGAAATATATTGTAACATCAGAAAACAATTTTAATATGTTTTTGGCTTGCAAAAAACAAAAAAAAATAAAATTCTAATTTTCAAAAGCGAATACTCTTGATGTCATTGTAGAGTTTAATTATGCAAGGATCAGGTATATCTCTGTACAGCTTATGGCGTCGTATATATTTGAGAAAATCATAATTCAAAATGCCGTCTGGAAAAATGTAAATGTTAATCAATAAAAATGACGACTACAATGGTGTTCTCAAATATTACTGTGATTTGCGCCATTAGTAAAAGCATATAGCCAGTATATTCGTGCCATCTAGAAGTTTTAACAAATACGTTATTCTATTATATATTATAACGCAAAACTCGTATTAAATAAACAAATGAAATAATAAAAGTACAATTCGCTATGAGAGTGAAAAACTTGACGTCAGATATAGGTAAAAGCTATTTACTCATCGATGATTCACAGAATAAAATTTGAAAAATTAAGTTTTTTTTATCTTAGAAGAACATGTTTTACGCTTTCAGTCCCCTGTGCCAATTTGAATGACATAATTTGCATAATTTTCATTCAAATTATATATATATATATATGTAAAAACATCTATAGAATACTTTAAAACTTATTAGTTTGCTCTGGAGAAAAAATACAAAACGAAAATTAATGATTTCTGGTAAAAAAAATGTTATTAAAATATTTAAGTACTAAAATAAAAATCAAATTTTAAAAATTATAATATGTTTATGTTAGATGAACATGTTTACTTAATATTTTTAATGAATATTGTTGCTCATTTTTTAAGGACAAAATTTGAATATCATCTTTCCACCTGGTGTCATGATGAATCGTACTAATAAAGCAAAACTAATATTAGAGTTATAACAACCAACCCGTAGTGAAGCCGTCAACATTTTCAGTATTTCGTGGTAGTCCGCCGAATTAATTGGTAATTTTTCTATAAACAGTTTTAAGATAATTAAAAAATAAATTCAATTAATAGTTAAGTTTTTTACTACCGTCATGGCCAACAACTTTGAGTACTTCTAAAACTTCATTCTCGTTCTCAAACACTTCTTCAAATTTACTCCTTATTGTGACCACGAAATTTTCACACGAAGTATTTTCACTTTTTATTAAGTTCGTATACTCCTCTAGGCTTTCTCTCTAAAAAAAAAAAGAATCACAAACTATGTCAAATTATTAATACCTTTTTTTTGTAACGCATGGGTGCAAAAAATATATTATACCGGATGTTTCACTAATAAGTGTCGTAGTTTCTTCTTTATGAGACACATTAGTTATTGTTTTTTTACAATATAAGACCACACTCAAATCTGTACTCTTCCTGGTGATCTATTAATAGTTGAAATCTAAATGGTGACTTACATACCTAGTTAACATTTTTTATTGGGAATAATTTGCTTGGATTTTTTTCTGATCTATAATTAGTTTTGGATAGACATTTTAAAAAAGCGTTAAAAATGATTCGCTTAACTTATAATTAGAATTAACTTTCTAATAAGTTTGAAATATTTGTATGGTTTATGGTACACAAGAGCGACACATCAACTTAGATATTTAAACTTTCAATCACAACCAAAACAAATATTAAGGTCAATGGGAATGAGGTAAATATGACTGAACACATAAAAACTAAGAAAATTCTAGAGTGCTAAGTATGAATCAACCTTTAAACACTTTAACCTAATTACTCCCATCATTAATCTTATAAACACATTTTCATTATCATTAAAATTTCTAAAGTTGGTTGATTTCTGGAAAATTTTAAAACTTGGGTATTTTATAATATTACACAGTAATATAATAACCACAAAAACTGCAAAATTTAATAAATAGATCAGCCTCTACAGTAGCAAAAAAACTGAACAAACCTGTGACAAAACAGTTATTATCGGTTTCATTTTTTTCACCACATTCCATCCTATTTCACTGCTTTCTGAAACCAGTTAAGACATTTGTAGAATGATTTTTTTTGTATAACATTGCTTTTTTTTAATATTACTGTGATCATTAATTTCATTTGTATAACACTGTGCATGGCGAATGGTGATAAATACTTTGAACTCATTGTATAATAATTTCTGTAATATCGTGGCGGATATTGAACCTTTCTTCTCGATGTCGTATTTGTCAAATATCGCCTTCCATTCCTTATTTGTCAATTTTTTTAGATTTGGATTTATATTCTAGAATAATATGTACAGTTAATTTTCTTGGAATCATTTTATCAAGAAAGGGTATAAGTCAAGTTGAAAAGTTAAAAGTTTTAAAATTAAATGAAAAATACGAAAACATAATTTTTTGCACTAGAAACTTCTTATAGTTTTCTCTTCTATTTTTAGCAACCTATTTTAGAAAATAGTATGATGCGTAAAACAACTTTGGAAATCCCGAAAATCTGGTTTTTGCCAAATAAAAACTTAAAAAAATTCTAAAAAAGGCATAAAGTATATTTTATTTTTCACATTTTATAACAAAACCAATGATTGAATTTTCCAGGATTTGATGTGTATATTTGGTGCTTTTGTTAGACACTTATTACTACATAGATGAAATATCAAAAACATTAGAAAAACAGAAATTAAAAGCTATTTTATTCTATACGATTAAAAGCGTATGGAACAAATAACGTAAAGATACTTGTATGTACGAGAGAAGAAAAATCAATTATATCCGTGTGTCAGCTATTCGTAATTATTGGTGAAAAAAAAAACAAAAATTTGTAAACCTACAATCAGAGTTGTGCATCATTCGAATAAAATGTTATCTTAATAGTCATCTAGAAAACAAATTATTCATTTAAAAACTAGTCGAATCATTTAAAAAAGAATTATGCGAGGAATTTTAACTACAATTATTCGAATAACAATTTGCACCACTCACACTTACAATGTTATTCATACAATAATCTTAACAATGTCTATATTTTACCATAATTTTTATAATTCAGAATCCACCTTTCCCCCCAACAAGTAGCGAAGATGATTTCTATTAATTTAAAAGAGCTAAAATTACTTAACTGGAATAGTATAACTCAAGACAAAAATCGTAATAAAATATTATTCGAATAATTTCAAATTCAATTAATCGAATAAGAATTTGCACTACTCTGCTTACAATGATATCCATACATCCTAACAATCTCTATAGAAAATGTATAACCATCAATAGTTTATTGCAAGAGTTTTTTATGTTATTTTTACCATTTTGCCGCCCCGGTAGAACAACGACACAACTGCAATAATTGAAATTTTACAGGAGAACCAAAATACCCAATTTGTTTTCACTAAAATGTTTTAGGATGTAATTTTAATGGAATGAGAATGCTTAGGAAATTATTACAACTACAGTTACGTCGTTTTTCTACCTTATGCGTTCGCTATATCTAAACTCATTGAAGCATTTAGTCCATTTTACCAAATTTTGACATTTTGTCATTGTTCTACTGGGGCGGCGATATATACTATAAGCTTTTAAATAATTTTGAAGTTTAGTTACATACCACCACATGAGGACCATACGTAGAAGCTTTTTTCGATACAGCGGTATTGGATCTCTTTAAAACGTCAAAACAATTTTAAAAATGCATAAAGTATTTCCTTTTTATACTAAAAACATAAAACAAATAATATTTTTTTCAGATTTTGATGTATTTGTTTTGTGCTTTGGTTAGACACCCATTCTTATATCGATGAAATATGAAAAAAAACAATAGTAAAACCGAAATTTCGCGTACCTTACTAAAAATGTTGTTTAAATAATAAATTATATATATATACAAAATATTCGAATAATTTCAAAAATAATATTCTTGAACAAAATATTATTCGAACAATTTTAGAAATTATACTTAAAATAATTACAAAACTATATTTATTATAATAATTTCAAGTTAAGATAATCGAATAAGAATTTGCACTACTCTGCTTACTATGTTATATATATACAATAATCCTAACAATATCTATCGAAAATATTATGTTACTGTTAACATTTTATTGCAATAGATTTTTTTGAATTATGGATACTTATCACCGTAGAAGTACCACTCGTAGAAGCTTCATCCACTGTATCGGATATCGTTTCTCCCTCCGTGCTAATACTTTTCTCTATACGACCCAAGACACACAAAAGTAGTATAATATTTTTTAAAAAACATTTTATAAATATGTACGTGGCGTGTATGAGACTTGCAAGGAAATTAAAATTTGCTTACTGATATTCACAAAGTCTTTGTGCAGAATGAAATATGAAAAGATATTTTATCGACGCGTAAGATTGAGTTTAAAGTCTATTTTTTTGCTTATAAAAAGAAATGGTATATGTGTTTTCTGTTTTGTTATTATTCTTATTTGTACAAATGCTTCGAATACGGAAATATTTCACAGAAAAACAACTTATTGTCTGTTCTTTCTAGGTCGATGTATTACCAATAGATTTTTTAACCTTGTGCATATTATTTTTTTCCACTGACAACGAAAACTAAAACGTTGTAAGACAAAAATTCTTTATTAATGCACGCTTGTCTTTGAATTTATTACTAAAACCTGATATTATAATATTTTCAATAAATCAAAATATATTAAACAAATTGACTCCCCCATCCCCTCTATGCCCCGACCCAACTTTGCTCCGTCCCCATTTTGTCCCGACCCCACTGTACTAGTTTTTTTATTCTTGTTATTCTCGTAACAAGTATTTCCAAAAACCTATAGATCGTATAACACGTACAAATGACTTACTCTGCGCAAATAACGTTATGTGCCGTTTGAGTACAACAGCTGTGACTGTACAAATAATTTACTTTCGCAGTATTGCAGTATATATCATTTATTAGACGTTTTGCTGTGTGTCGATAATCGGTTTTATGCTTTTGTCAAACCCACTCCTGTTTATTTAAAGCGAACACGGAAAAGATCTAGTTAACAAACTAAATGCACTTTTGGCAAAATTTGCTGTATTTTTCTCACGAGGATTCGATCAAAATACATTATTAAACAAATTGATTGATTTAATAAGTATGCTAATTTTATTATTAAATAATCGAATTTTTTTAGGTTTTATAATTGGAAATTCTTAAGTTTGTGTTATTATACAACATTATAAAATTAATAAATATTTACCTTTCCTATTATTTTACACGGCTCAGTGTTTTTAAGAAGTGTAGTTCGGTAGAGTATTGCTCTAAATTTTAAAGTTCAATAACTTCGTAAATAAATATCCATTAAAAAACTACAAAATAACGATAATTCTAAAAAAAAGAAACGTCATATCATTAACGAATCATCCTGTATATTCTAATAACTAGTGAATTAAGTCCACTAAAAGGTTTCTTTAGGTTTGGCCTAGAACGAGGTCCCAAATTTGTTTAAAGTTTTTTGACCAATTTTAGAGTCTTTGCCATCGTAAATATTTCTTGATGGACATTTATAAAATTGGTAAAACGTTTTATTTTAACTGTACACTTAAAAAAAAATATTTTGTTTTCGTCATGGTTCGACGATAGGATAAGTACAACAAGTATTTTTTACATTTTCAAAAGAGCAACTCCTCACTTTGATTCAAGAATTGTTTTTATCTTTGAATTTTCTAACAATTATGTCTGAATGTGTACACTGTGTCATGTAGGCAAACCGACCGTCGGGCAAATCGCTTTAATAAAGGTTGTTTCTCTCTTTCTAAATCAAACTACACTTAGACAAAGTTTGGATTTGTCTTTCTAAGTAACTACATGTAATCATTTTAATTACCAATTACATAGAATTTTAGCGTCGATGCAGAGCGACAGAGGTATTGGTTTTACTCTGATGTGGGCTTTTTTTGTGTCAGTAAACACTGTAAATTTTTTAATACTGAACCAATTCCTTCGAGTAGTAACTCTATAAATCAAAAATTTCATCTACTTGGTACTTTGGGGGGGGGGGGTAAAAGTTGAAAAAGTTTACTTCTTCACAGTCATAATTTAAAAAAAACAAAAAAAACCCGTACGAGTTTTTGAGTTAGAACTTTTACAGGCTATAATTTTGAGAAAAAAAGTCGGATCGAGTTGAAATTTATTAGGAATATTTATTTGGTTTGCCCGCGCATGACAGTTGTATCAAATTTAAATTATACCCATTTTGCACCCCCCCTATAGGGGGGTACAAGTTTTTTTAGTTTTTTAGCCGTAATTTTAGGACCTTTAAGTTTTAAATGATATATTCTATAGCTTAATTTTTATTAAGATTTTTTCCTCGGCGGACCGCCACGACGTGGTGCAGTCCGCGTTGCCTAACACAAGTCCTTAACATCAAAAACTTGCAAAATACTAGAATTACAAAACATACAACTAACCTAAAGTTTTGAACTATAAATGCATTTTGCAAGTATTGTTAACTAGAACTTAATAACCAAAATAACGACCACTTAGTAGGTCTGAAAGGATGCATTTGTCAACTGCTCTAAACATACTTACCTACGCAATATAATACTAATATTATTATGGATTCTCATATCATGCGCTTTTTGCTGTCTGGACTGCAACTGGAGTATGTACAAATCGATAATTGCAGGCATTACACCTTATGTTGTATTCAAAATTCAACTCTTCGCCATTGAATTAGAAAAATAAATCAATGGTTATTTTTTAGGCGTGTCCGAATCCGTGTATTCTTAAAACGCTTAAGTATAAATGACTTTTGACCAATAATTGATTCAAAATTAGCAAAAAAAAAACTGAACAAACAAATACCGGCTGTCTTTTTTTTATGTCTGGACTCATTTATCTTATAAAACGTGGAACCAATTTCTATGTATATTAATTCTATGAATCATAAAATCGTACCTAATTGGTACTTTATTGGGCCAAAAAAATTCATCCTTTCAGAATCGATAAAAATACCCAAAAATATGTACATATTTTTTTAACCTTTGGCGATCAAAACTTTTTTAAAAAACAGTCAAATTGGTTCAAAATTTGTATGGAATGTTCCGTTGTCCACCGATAAAAGATTTGTTTACCTTATACAAAGTTGTTTCTTTTGTAGTGAGCATTCTCTTTATGTAAAATGTCGAAACATATAATATTGTAGTATGTTATGTATCCCTAAAAACTAGAGAGGTCTCGTTTATACCTACAATCTACATATAGTGTTCACGAGCAAAGCAA